TTTTTTGAGAATATTTTGTTTTGTTTTTAGTGCATTTTGTTTTGTTTTTAGTGTATTTTGTTTGGAAGTCGGTTTTGTTTTTTTATTATTCATAATGGCTTTGGTGCAGCATGATCGAAGAGAGATTTTTAAACTAGATTGATACATCCATGTATAAGTTTTAAAAGACGAATTCCGCCCTTACATAAAATATAACAAAATCTACTAGTGACAGATGTTTTTAAAAAATATAGCATTCTCTGTGGCAGCCAGCAGTATTGTCAGTTGTAATTTTGAAGTTGACGTTTTTGTCATTGTCAAAAACTTTAGTGGCGTTTCGCAATTGTCAACAAGTTACTAATTCTTTTTATTTGCTAAATTGCTTATTTATTAAGATAAAATATTAAAGTATCTTAAGTAAAGATGTCGGAACGAAAAGTTTTAAATGTAAGTAATAACATATTTATTGTTTCTTAATCAGTGAACGACAACGATAGCCTGCTCGTGAGTTAAGCCTACATAAACCTATCAAAGTTAGAAAGATGGTTAAACCATGGTGAAGGCTATTTTATAACTTTATTCCTTATTGATTAGAGGATTGACACTACTCCAACAACTTGGCCACTTGTGTGACTACTGGCTAGTAGACATTCTTATCACACTAATCAAAACATGGTAACCATGATTTCAGAAATACTATCCTCCGGACTTCGATCCGTCAAAAATTCCTCGCATGAAATTGGCGAAAAATCGCCAATACACCGTTCGTTTGATGGCACCTTTCAATATGCGCTGCGTTACATGCGGTGAATACATCTACAAAGGAAAGAAGTTCAATGCCCGTAAAGAAGATGTTGAAAATCAAGATTATTTAGGCATAAGGATTTATAGGTTTTACATTAAAGTAAGTATTTTTGGTCATTACATCTACAAAAAAAAGAATTATAATTTATCTTTGGAAAAAAGTTATTTAACTTACATAGCAAAATTTTTTAACATTAACTTACATAGCAAAATTTAAAAAAAAATATGGAGCCTATTAGGAAGTGTTAAGTGCTATATGTTACACTAACTTTCACCCACAACTCCGTTCAGGTGGAAGTAGAAAAAACAAAAGTAAGCATCCTATGTGTTCTTCCAGACTATCCTCCACATCTATGCCGAATCTCATCGAGATCCGTTCAGCAGTTCAGGCTACAAACTCTAACATCCATCCATCCATCCATCTAAACATTCACATTTATAGTATTAGTAAGATTAGTAAGATTTCCTACTATACTAGCAGAGTAGGTAAATAGTCATAGGTAGGTCAGAGTAGGTAAGTAGTAATATAGTCACAGAAAATAAAATGGGACAGAAACTATTATTACAAGCATTATATTTATGGTTGTTTTGTAACACACACAGAAATTTATTACAACCAACCAATTAATAGAGTTTTATTGTAAGTTTCTCAAATTTTATTTTAATTTTTTAATCTCAATATCCACAATAGGGAACACTATTTTTCTTTGTGCCAATTAAAGTAACCACGTATTTTTAAATTAACAAATTTTTCCTTTTATTCCAGTGCACAAGATGTCTTCAAGAGATATCATTTAAAACAGACCCTAAGAACACAGATTACGAAATAGAGGCGGGTGCAACAAGAAACTTTATGGCTTTAAAACTGGCTGAGGAGCAAGCTAAACGGGAAGAGGAGGAACAGAAAGAAGAAGAGGCAAATAATCCTATGAAATTATTAGGCAAGTTATGAACCTGGATAACTTTTTAAAAAAAATACTAGCCTTACAATATAAGCTAGCTCCAATGAAAAATATAAGTCAAATGACACTCAACATAATCTAGGCACCTCACTATTACAAAGGAATTTAATATACAATTCTTCATAAATGTAAGGGTAATTAAAGCCCGAAAATAATATAGATATTGTAGTTATTTAATGTTTTCTAAACAACTGAATAATTAAGTGTATTTTATCATTAATTCAAATAGTTGATGTATTTTTCAGAGTACAGAACTGAGCAATCAAGACAAGAGATAGAGCTTTTAGAGAGTCTGGAAGACCTAAAAGAATTGAACAGACGACAACAGTCAGTTGACTATGAGAGTATGTTGAAACAATATAAATCCGAGAGTGTGGAAGAAAGGAAAGCGAGGGAGGAGCGAGAAGACAATGAATTCATTAAGTATGAACACTTTTATTTTCTCTTAGAATTTTAATGTCATTTGTTTTCGCAATCGAAGCTAAATCTATAGTTTTTATACAAAGTAATGTCAATTTTTTAATTAACATTTTATTATTATATTACTCTAATAATAATTTAAAATTCTATATTCTAATGTATAATTGGATAATTACAGATCAGTAAAATTCAACAATCCGAATAAACACAAAGTAGTTGCTGAAGAGATCATAGAGGAAATCCAAGATGAAGGTGAACCAGCAACAAAGAGTATTAAAATGGAAATACCGCAAACAAAACAGAATGACGCGAAAAAGAATGAATCATGGAACAGAAGTATAGGTGTTATAGCAAGGAAGCCATTGGTTAATCTAGTTAAAAAGAAATCAAGTGAACCTATCATTAAAACCATAGACAAGAATAAAGATATCAGTGACACAGATAAAAAACCAGAGACTAAGTCAAGTGATGTGTCCAGTGTTGCCAGTGGCAGTGGCGGACTTTCCCTATTGGCTGGATATTCAGGCAGTGACAGTGACTCCTGTGAGTGATTTTATGTATATTTTTATAAAAAATACAATAAATCATGTTGTGTTATCTATGTTTGATAAAGTTTATTCCCTCTCTTTACTAGCTTGATGATGATATTTACATTTAAAAATAAAGATGAGAAGAGTTAGGACAGCGAATAGCGCCACCTAGTTGAAAGTTATTCTAATTTACTTTGCTAATAATATAAGAGATTTTACTTCAGTTGCATTAGTAATAATGTTGTTTTACAACCAAAATAAGAAACAAGCAATTTTTTAAAACTATATCTGTTTATTTTAGTTAACACAATTTTAGCAGTGCTATTTAAGGGTCATCCATTTTGTTGTGTATAAAACAGTTTTTGCACTAAAGTTTTCTATGAATTTCTTATACATTATTACTGAATACAAAAACGACTTCAATAATAAAAATATATGTATTTTTCATTTTATATCGTTCTATATTGTGGTTCGTCATGCTGTACAAACTAATATATTTACAAATCAACAAAAGGTGCTCTTAGTTGTCACCATTTTGATAGCATAAAATATTAACAGTTTTTGTGAATGTATATCTTGACTCGGGGACTGTCACAATTCATAGAAAAATGTATACAAAAATAGCTTAATGCCACAGATACCAATTTACGCGATTTAATTCAGCGGGCGGGACAAAAAAAGATTATAAGTGACGTCATTGATATTGCGACAAGCGGCTTAGGACGCATTGGCCGCGCCCTTTGTTGTCAGCCCCACCATTTGTTATGGTGTCAAGTGCATTCACACAACAAGATTATTGGCACATTCTTTATACGTTTTTTTTATTTAATTCTAATTCATTTCTTTCTACTGTCAATCATAAAATAGTATTAGAAGTTGTAATTATTTTATCAAAGCTTGATCAATCCAATCTGTTAGAAATTTGTTGTTACAGAATTAAATCATAAAAACAACTAGCTTACTTTAAAAACATGTACCAGATTAAAATGTCCTGTAATCTATAATCTGTCTATTCAGCCATATAACGCCCACCACTGGGCATAGGCTTCCCCCAAAGTACGCCACGATTATTGGTCCTGTACCTCTCGCAATCCAGGTTACTCCATCTTGACCTATCCGTCGATCCTGTGGAAGGCCTACGCACACTGCGTCGACCTATCCCATCCAGGATTTTGCGGCTCCATCGGTCGTCTGTTATGCGGGCTATATGGCAAAATGTATCACCTTTCCTTAATCTACTAACTCATGTAAGTACAATCAATATTACACGACTATAAAATCTTAAACTAATGTAGAAATAAAAATCTTGTATTATGTTGTTTTTACTTGAAAAATGAGTTTATCAGAACTTTAGTAATACGTATCATTTTACCAAATATCTACTATAATTAGTTTCATCAAGTGGTCTATTTAGTAAGCGGTTCGTTTTTCTCGTACGTCTGTAAACGTCTGCGGCCACGCCCAGAGACCGTCAAATTATATAACAAATTAATATTTTCCCTCGGAGACGGTACCTGCGGATTCCTGCAAATCGGGTTCCAAACAAAAAGCTCCATAACACCGCTTTCGAGATAAATAACCGAGTCGTATCCCGGGATTTTTTCGTCAACATAAATATAATTTTTTTGGGGGCGATGTAACGGCTCTGAGCCGACACGTCTGCGCTCGGTTCTGGGAAGCGATGTCCGCGGCGCCGCCGGCCGGGGCTGCCGCGCTGCGCCGATAAATAAAAGGCTGCTTGGGAAATATTATGTTACATTGAGGGTGTTTTTTGATCGAGTGCGTGCGGCGAAGGCGGCGGCGCGGTGGTCGCTGGCTTTGGCCACTCGAGCCTCGCTAATGAACCAGATACGGTCGCCATATGTACTTTCAGTTTTTCTCAATAACATTAATATTTTTATCTTCATATAAACGGCGACTTCGTAGCATAGTGATAATAGTAAGAACTGTCATCACTAGTTATTAATAAGTGCTCCGCCCTTTTTAAGGCGATTCCTTACTGTGGAAATATTTATGGGTTGTTTTTGGAAATTACGCATCTTTCCTCTCGATAGCCAGGCATATTTTAAAGCTATTAGGCATAGATTTTTGAAATCCTCTATTTCAAGCATAATCATAAATCTAAAAATTTATTGAAAATACCCAAGAAAAAAAAAAATTAAGTTTTGGGAACATCCATATGAGAAGTATTCAAAAGCCATTCGACAAACAAGGGGTAGTAAATAAAGAAATCCTATTTGCGAAGCTTGCTCTTTAGATCTTTGATAACGTGCTCTAATGAGTGGGGTTTTGGGTTGTTATGTTTTCATGTCCTGCCTCCGTCTTTGTCTATCTCTTCAAATCTTATGTTGAGACAATACAAGATAGCGGTCTCCCGTTGTCTTTCTCCGTGTCTTGGTTAAGGTGATATTTTCGCATCATTTGTTACTTGCGGTAGAAATGTAACAAAAGATAAAAGATGGGTATTCTTTGTCTTTATCTGTTCTTATTCTCTGTAAAAATAATGGATACACTTTAAGAAGATTTGTACGGTCCATTAAAGGTATCGGATTCCTGCGGAGCGAGCGCCATGTGTTTACTTGTTTATCTTTACAGTTATTTCAAGAATTTGCTACACTGCAAAATTATCAAGCGCGTGTATCGTGTATCGTTACATAGTCGACATATTTAATAATTTTTATACGCCAATAAAATTAGAAAATATAGCCCTACCCTATTTTGCATCTACTTTCTACTTTTTGTGATCTAAAACATTCAGTTGTAACGTGTATAATAATACTCGAAGATTAAAAAACTTTTTTAACATAAAATTTTTTGGAAAAATAAAACTTAGTTGGCGCCGCTAACAAAGTTGACCTTTGACACTGGGTTCCAACAAGTCTGCCTTATTTCGTCATTTCTAAGTAGTTTCTGACTTTTTACCATTTACTAGCTTGAACAATATACATTATAATGAACGTAATCAAACCCTCCAAAATAATCATCTCCTAATTTTTAATTCACACATGATAGTATTCTTCCATTAATTTAAATTTCATCCTCATTTGTATGTATTTAATCGAAGCTAGGATAACAAATCGCACAATGTTGCCAGATAAATAATTGTGGGAAGAGTAGGAAAAATAATTTCACGCGTTCTACTTCAATTGATGTGACATTTATAATAGTTGTTTGCGCATTACTCTTGCCGTTCGATGTTAAATATGGTTTTATGTTAATACGTGACATACTGCATTACAAGCTCCAATTGTCTCTGAGATCGGAGATCTGGTCTAATTGACACGATCGCAATGTCTTGATGTCTTGTCGTAAAATTTTATAGTACATATTATCTTGTGGATATAATTATATTGATCGTAAGGAATCGATAATAACTTTTGTGTTTTAGTGAAACAACAGGCACATAATTTAAATCTGAGTACATACGGTTACTGTGAAATTGATAAAGTTCCATGTTTTAGAATCTAAATCTTAGATAACATAGTTGGAATGCTCGTAACGTGAAACTGTTAATTAAAAAAAAACACAAAGTAAGATAAAATTTATATTGAATATGCCTGAGCTGTCAGTTTGCAACGAGAACGTAATTCTGTAGCGTCTTAAATTTTTCTGTCGTACGCTGAACATTTATTGGACAATTGTGTCTACCGGATGCCGCACTGTAGCCCACATGATTGATTAAAAAGCCGCAAGTTATTCATCCCACTATAAATAAAGTTGTTAATGGAAGGCGGCTCGCTAGTAATTGGACCTTAAAATTCCTCCTTGTACACCCACACTAGTGCACCCTAGGAAGGGTGACCAGGAGTTACGAGCGGTATGAATATTACCATTGCCGGCTTTTGTGAGATTTCTACTCCCCCTTTTTATGCGTTACTGAGGAAGGGAGCTTAATACAGTCACATAACCTAATGTGAGACTGTAATTTGCAGACCTGTAGCGCCGCAGTCCAGCGTCCTAGGTGGTCGTCAACCGCGCCCTACACCGGTACTGATACAGGCTTTAGTAGTGTTACTTATGTTTCACAACATGCCTCGTTAATTAACAGTAATCAATAATACACATGTAAAATGCCGAAGATAATCACTTCAAAATCAACATTTTTGTTTCCATTATTATGTGATATTTCGTCAATGATCTACTGTAATGATTGCTTCTAGCATATTCAATAAATTGCAGTCGTTTAACTTTCATAATACGATTAATTCGTAAAATATGGTCGATTCTTGCTCATAATGATAGGTTTCTAATATTCCTTTGTTTAAAAGACAAACCACTTTATGATATAGTAATAAAATATTTCGGGAAGAAATAAAGCGTGGTTCCCCTAATCCCGGAGAACAGCTCTCTCAATCCTTTAGATAGCAAGGAATCTTTGTATGAGGGTAGACCGGTATCTTTCACACAATACATACCGATCCCTCGCTTAATGATTTTTTTATTTATACTCGTTTTACTCTGTACCATTAGGCAATTTACCACGGAGATTACCTAATGACATTGTATAAAATTTAATTACACGGAATTATTTAGGATAAACCGAATAATTTATAGTTTGTTAACATTACTGTTTTTTTATAGATGACATTTATACTAAGTGTGTTAAGTAGGTTTTGGGACGTGAAAGTGGGAATTATCCGTGACCTTAATTTATTATCTTTATTTATAACGCCCTTCGAATTTGATAAGTTTTCGCATAATGGTAGTATCAAATAAAAGTATGATTATAAACCGTCAAGGATATTTGACCCTGTGGGAAAAAGTTAAACTAAATTATGCCACCATATTAGCGCCCCCTGTTGTCAATGTCAATTTCGTACTATAGTTGTCACCGTCATGTCATGTTTTGTTTGTTTTCTTTTATGCTTTTTTAAGTTAACGTAGGTTTTACATATTTTCTGTTATAGCTGCGCTAGCGCCATTCACTAGGCCAGATATCCTTGTTTGACTATACTAGTATTTGAACTACTGATAATAGAACTGACAGTCGACGAAATACTTTTACTACCACAC